CTACAGTAAATTGAAATCAGGTAATAAATAAATTTCAAGTGGAAGTAAATAATTTTTAGTTATCAGTAGAAATGAGAAAGGGTTATTATGAATTTTGTATCAGGTTTGATTCAGAGACTTAGTAAAAAGAGCGTAAATTGGGTGATTGTAGATAGATTGATTAAGTCAGCACAAATTATTACAGTATGAGTTGACTATTCTATGGATAATTAAGCTAAGTTGTTTATAAGAGAGATTGTTTGATTGTATGATAAATATGTCTCAATTACATCTGATGATATCTAAAGTTTACTTCAAGGTTTAGAATTCTTTGAACAAGGCCCTCGGAACTCGATCTAATTTTGGCACTATTTTCCATTTGCAGTGAGATGGTTGGTCCGATCAAGTTATTCAGATTTTAAAAGTTATGTTAAGGTGTGTGTTTGAGTTTAAAGGATCGGGATAAAAATGGTATGCTAAGTTGACTAAGCATAAATGTGGAAATTTTCTAAGGTTGTATTCCTTGGCCATATAGACTCAGCTAAGAGGATAAGGATATAGTCAATTATTATATTCTCTCTGACCAAGTTGGAGGATAGACATATCACTTATTTGGACTGTTAAGTGCCAAGAAAATTTGAGATGTTAAAGAGAATATGAACATAAGATTCAAGGTCAGTAATTAGAATTTGGAAAAGACTATGTGAATCATAGTAATGTGTATTATAATTATAAGATGTGTAACACAAGAAGAAAAGTTTTATTTGCACTATTAAGTAATTAGAGAACGATGGAAGAAATAAACTGACTCATGATCTCAAGTTGGCAATGATTGAGGTTACTTCGATGATTGAACATCACTATTTACATGGGAATGACACTACATCTATTCGGATATCAAAAGTCAAGAGTATGTATTGAATTGAAGAAGTAAAAAGAAAGGAAATGGATTGAATTCCTTGAAGAATGAAGACGTGTTGATCAACTACAAACATGAAAGGTTAATATGGTAGTAATTCGATAAAGCCGAGAGACATTTTTATTTCAGAATTCCAATACGTAATTGCCTTTTTAGTTAGATAGTGTTTGGTTTGTATAATTAAATTTTAAAGCTTTTGTTATTGGATTGAATAAAAGATCTTATGAGAAAAGATGAAAATTTATGTGGTTGTCAATTATGGAATAAGAGGAAAAATGAGAAACTGCATTTTCGGGACTAATTCTATGCTGTCCTTCAGGACATATCTATGTGGCACTTCGGTACAAATTCTACGTGGCACTTCTGTGCAAATTATATGAGCAATGGTGACTGCATTTAGTGCACAACCTCAATGTACTTAGATACCTTGAGTTCTCAGTAATATACGTTGGGCTAATTAAATAAATGGATATAAATTAAACAAATTGTATGGATTGAAAAGTGTATAAGTGTATATGTAGTCATATGAAATGAAAATTAATTATAAATTGTACGGTGTCTAAAAGTATATATGTTAGTGATATGAAAAGTAAATTGATTTTCGTATTATGTATTTTTCAATGAAATGTATAAGCAAGTATTTTTAAATGTTTTATTATACTCATAAATGCCTCACTAAGTCAAAGACTTAGCATGTGGTTGTTTTCACACGTAGGTTTAGAGATGTTAGCAGAGTAAGCAAGGGCAGGACAATATATCTCTGAAGGATATCAAATCAAAGTAAATTGAATAGTATGTGATTTGATTTTATGTAAATTGTTGGCATGTACTAAAAATGTGTAAATCATAGATGCTCCGATATGTATTTTAAATATGTGTTTTCAATTTTTCATTTTTCTTAGTCAAATAAAAGTAAAAAAGTCAACTTTTAGTCAGATTTTCATAGTTTTCAAGTGTTAAAAAGTCAATGTGACACCTCAAATTCGTATCCGGGTCGGGTACGGGTCGGGGGTGTTACAATGTTTTTAACGTATTTTGAATTATTTTCATAAAGTTTATGAAAATGATTTTATTGAAGGGTTTTAGGGTATGAACTGCCTTAAAACAATTGGATGTATTTTACTCTATTTAACATGTATTGGTGTTTCAGAATAAATGTTTAATATGTGTTTTGGGATATAATAGCCTATTGTATGTACATTAAGAGTCATAGGTGCATTTCGACATACTTTGAGTATGATGATTATAGATCGATTTTATTTAATGCATTATTGCATTTTTATACCAGTACTTTGTGTACTTGGAGTAGTACTTTGTGTACTGTGGCACTATGTGTGCAATGATGGTATTCATAATGAGCACTTGTTAATACCTTGAATAAGGTGGTTATCGATCGATTTTGTTTAATGCATTTGGTTCATTTTAGTATTAGTACCTTTGCTTACTTTCGGCACTATGTGTTCATTGATGGTGTTCATAATGAGTTGTGAATTACCATTTCGATATATTAGTATAGTGTTGTTGTTACTACTGCACCTATACTTTCGTTTAACACTTATGTGCAATTTATGTACCTTGCATTCTCATCTATCATACATTGGGTTCTGAATGGATATTTTTGAATAAGTATGCTATGCATATGAAATAATGTTTCGCAGGTTATGTGACGGAAATTTGGCTTATCAAGTTAGTTTTATGCGTTTATATATATTTTATACGATTTGATTCATATTTTGATCTTTTATGGCTTACTTATGATTTAAATTGTTTTACTTACTCTTCTTATGCCTCACTAAGTGTATACTTAGTATGTTATGATTTTCACTCGTAGGTAAAAGGAGCGAGTAGAGTAAGGAGTTGAGCTTGAAATCAATCATCAAAGATTATTTACCGGTATCAGTAATGACATACTACTGTTGTTTTAAATTTCTAGTAACATGTATACATATAAAAAGAGTTTGTATTGTTTTAATATGGGTTTTGACATAAATTATAGTATAAGTATATTTATTTATTAAACCGTTTTATTTAAGGAAACCAAATTTTACTGGTTTTTTAGTACATAAACGTTTTAAAAGACATGTGACATTTATAACTCATGTACGAGGACATATACGGGAAATAGGTGTTACATGATCGGTTGGTTTATGGGTCGAGTCAATATCGGATCTATTGGTTTTCGGGTCAGGTCAAAATCATATCGGTTTATTTTCGGGTCAGGTCAAAATCATATCGGTTGATTTTCAGGTCAGGTCAATATCGGATCGATTGATTTTTGAGTCGGGTCAATATCGGATTGATATTTTTGGTTTGGGTCAATCTTTAAATTTTTGTGTCAATTCAGGTTGAGTTAAACATAAGTCCAATCAAGTATATATAAAATTATTGATATATTCTTATAAGAAAAAATGTATATTTCTATTTTCAATCTTATCATTTAAGTTCAACTTTGAAATACTTTATGTTTCAAATTACATTATCATTTATTGATGACAATTTAACCCGAACCTATAAGACTTATGGTGCAAACTATTTGGTGAAGAATTAAATTTTATATATTATAAATTTTATTCTCAATTAAATTTTTTAATTAGATGTTTGATGTCTATTTATAAATATATTATAATAATTAAATTCGTATGAATATTGATATAAATAATTTTATAAATGGTATTACACTTCTGATAATATTTTAATTTTAAATTATAAACAAAATAAATATTTATATATTATGAAAATAAATTATTTATTATTTTTTTAAACCAAATAATTTATTTATTAAATAAGTTATTTTTGTAAAATAAGATCAAAATAAAACAGTCTATACGTAAACCTAATTATATTCATTCCCTTTATCTATTAAGCCTTCCATCATCTAAGTGATGCGAATTAAAGTTAATCACATAATCTAGAATTTTAGATATGAGTAATTTTATTTTATAATCTTTTGTATTAAATAATTTTTTAAATAATTTAAAAGTTATTAGATCAGATACAGAGATGATCTTTTAAATAGGAAAATGTTATATTGAACCATTCAACTATTATTTATCAATTTATTAAAAATAGAAAATAATAGTAACAGTAATAAATTATTCATTCACTTAGATTCAATTATCAGGTTAAAGTCGGGTCTGGGCTGGTTTCAATTCGGGTTGATTTTGGTTCAACTAAAATTAAGATCGGTTTTGATTCAATTCAATTTATTCTGGGTTTCGAATCAATTTTGGATCATCATATTCGGGTCTATATCGAATTTCAAATCGAATAAATCGGTTCGAGTGTTAAGGGTCGGGTCAAATTACATGTCGCGTTTAACCATTCATGCAATGTAATTGAATCATATGAAGGATGTGCGTATTGGGCCCATATATTGTTTGAGTTGATTACCGAATAGAGATTCCTGGGGCACAAGTTTGATTTTGTGATACACATTTGAATTCTGGAGGAAGAACAACAATGTTCAATGATAGAATATAATATAATGTTATGTGATCATGTTGCTTTGGGAAGCAAAATAATGATAAGAGAATACATATAATATAAACATTTGAATTAAAACAATGAATAGTGATTATTGACTGTTTGGTAAGAAGGTAAATGTTGTATGATGAGCCTTCCTTGAACAGAGTAAGATTGAATGGAGTAAATGATTCAGTGAATATAATATGGAGTACAAATATGTCGCGCAAGATATGTATGAGAAAAAGAAATGATATGAAAATGCTAAATTGATGGTCATGTTGAAAAAGCCAAACTATATATGCACAATGGCCATGACAGAATTTTCTACACTTTTTTGGTTATCGTTACACTTTTTGTGCCCATTTTGCGTTGGGGGGGGGGGGGAGGAGGAAGCATGCCTTATATAAATCGCTTTAAACTAAATTTCAGTCTCGACACTGTTCAGATACTCAAATATGACATCTACTATCCAACCGGACATCAGGACCGTGCATTGAGTGTTACTAACCATATTATCATGAACCAGCTCACGTATTATCAGAATAAATACATCAAATTTTAGGTTATCAAAAAGGAAAATGGCAGCCAGCCCTAACTCGTAAATGCTTTAGATCATTAAGCATTCATGCGAGATAGTCGCCTCTTCAAAGGAACTGAAAAATCTAAACCAACTTGGAAAATTACCTTGTAAAACTAGCCAAAAACAAATAAAGGTATCGAATATAAACTTTTAAAGGCAATTTTAATTGTTACACGACAATATGGGGGAGAAAGAATTCTCTGTCAAATGCTCAAAGATGGATGCTCTCTGACCAACATCAATGTTATGACTCTTGAAAGTATGGAGATGCAGAAGGAAGTTAGAAATTCCCTTTAGTGATTGCTTCCTCTAGTTCCTTGAATTCCCATGCCTCGTCCACTGCATACTCTCCTGCAAGGACCAAAAGCGGTTTCTTAACAAATTATTGCCTCTTGAAACAAAAATCCACTGAAAACACCGTTGATTTTCTTCTACTCTGACAAAACAAATGCACTCCGTGTCTTGTTTATTGGTTTTGGATCACAATTCACACCTAGCTTCGAGATAAAACCATCTTTCGACTAGGAGCATACCAGCTAAAATGATCGCATTTTGGTTAATCCAATCACCGTCCGAATATATTCTTTGTTGTGATTCGACAATTACAGGATTGTGGTAAAAGGCATTGTAGGTGAAATGCTCCCTTTTTGCCCACCATTTCATGCATACTAGATCCTAGCAACCAGTGCAAGGGCACCTTACAGCCTTGCAGATAAACCAAAAACAAAGAAAAGAACGATAAATTTATATAGCAGTTGATCTCTCTAACTTTACTAGTCTTTTATATTGGGAATCAATTAGTTCTTCCCCTACTTAAATAGAAATAACTTTCAAGTGAAACAAAAATGAGAGGTTCATGCTAACAAATCAAGACCTATTTGACCAGTCTATTAACATGATGATGAGATCTTACCAATTGAATCTCTTCTCAGAGCCGTCAAATGAGCACAACTGAAACAGCAAAGCAATTAAGAGAATATCAACTCAAATGCTAAAATGAAAAAGCTGAGAGCTTAGACAAATTTCTAATTTTTCTGAAATCCAGATCTATTGACCATCATTCATCAGCCAATGAAAATCAGAGCTAGGCCTCAAATTATTAAAAAAATGATTACCTACCCAAAGCCTTCCCAAAATCTGCACATAATGACCGGATATATGTTCCTTTTGAACATGTGACCCGGAAAATCAAGTTTTGTCTGCAAAGACATCAGAAACATTAAAATGAAGCTTGAATTATGCAGTACTGAGATGACTGAACCAGATTTTGAGGGGAAAAAGGACAAGTACCTATCTTCTAAGCTACGCTCAATCTCAAAATGGAAAATTGAAATTCGTCTTGGTGATAGTTCAACACTCTCTCCTCTTCTTTCTTTTTCATACATCTTTTCACCTCCAACCTATTCATAATATCAACATGTGTTTATTATTCAACAAATTCCGAAGTTTCACAAGAAGCTGAGAAGAAACCAGTAAGGTACACTGTACACCAAGTATAAACAATGGCAGATCCAAAAATATTTTTGAGGGTGAGCACACATATATTAGTAACATAAAACTTTTGTATGAGATGGGCACAATCAATAAAATAGATAACTAATTGAAGGAAATTCAGATTTCGAGATGGGAACCACCACTGTGTATAAGGGGGAAGGATGAATGTCAGCGTCCTATAAACCCCCTGATGAACAGTAACTTCTATATATTAGGTTTCATCAAAATATTTTTAAATCCCCTAAAGCATTTTTCTGTAAACCTTACCTTGATTGCAGAGAACATGGGAGGCACTTGCCATATCTCCCCACAGAAGGATGCAGCAGTTTTCTTTATGTCCTCATCTTTGATATGCTCCCAAGGCTCACGTTGAATGACCTACATGAAGATCAAACTGAAACTTAATTATATAGCAGGCATAATGTCCAAGAAATAAATTAATACATGCCGAGATCTTGTAGAATTGTCACTAGAAAAACATTAAGTAAACAGCACATAACAGTATATTGAAGTGAATATATAAATTGGACAGAGAAACAGCAGATCCTATTTCTGTCAGAGTGAGACTGACTACTGAATAAACATACAGGTGAATCAGCATCCCAAGTTGAAGTAGCCTCCCCTAAGAGAAACACTCCACTATATCCCTTCTCCATTCCTTGGTATCTGCAATTGAAATATTCAAACTCCTCAGATAAATTCATCTGGTACATGTATGGAAAAAAATCTTCAGTTTCAAGCCAACAGGCCAGTAAAGGAGGGGAATGGAGCCTGGCTTTGGACATTGAAAACAGAAGAGCTAGTCTGTAGAATTCAGACATGAGATCAGATCAAACAAACCTCTCTACCAACTTAGTGGCTTTACCAACACATACAATCAATAGACCAGTTGCCATAGGATCAAGCGTTCCAGCATGCCCTACCTGTTAAGTATGATCCAAAAAGTTAAACTATAGCAGAAATAAAAAAGGAGTATCCAACAAACGAGATGTTAAATGGAAAAAGTAAAACAGTACCTTTTTCACTTTGACTAAGCGACGCAGCTTGCCAAAAACAGTAAATGAGGTCCACCCTGTTTTGCAATATAATAGTGTTATCATTCGATACAAGTCACTGTCATAATTCAGAAAAATGTTACATTTATCATCTGAGGATTTTCGATATTTTCATTTCAGCAAATCAGAGAATTAGATATATAGGCCTAAAATTTTATAGGATGGCCAAACATATGATTCGCACCCTCTCTGAATTTGAAACAGGAAAACAGAAGAGTCCCTTTGCTAAAGCAGAAGGCAAGCAGTACAAAACTACCTCACACATTGTCCTAGTTATCCTAAACTAGCATTGGTTAACATCTAACGGTAAGCTACATATTACTAAAAGCTCACATATCACCGAATGCAGCAACAACAAAAAGAACACTAAAGAACTGCAGCACATTCACAAGTAAAAGGCCTCCAATCTTTAATAGATAAGGGGCGGAATTAAGTGAATCAGAACGTGATGCTTATCAAAATATAGCATTCAAAAGCATTGAATCCATCACAATTTAAACAAAGAACACTATGCAAACTACTTAGCTAACCTTTGGGCTTATTCACCAAAACCACAGTCCCATGTGGACCATCCCATCTTGGGGGCAGCTCAGTACTCCTACTAACAAGGTAAGGCTCCCCAGCACTGAGCTCGGTTTCCTTGTTAGGGACCTTTTTCAAACACTTGAAAAACTCCTCCACCTTCTTCTCAGTAACCTTCTCCTTCACATCCTCACCTGAATTTCCGTCTTCCTCAAAAAACACCAGCCCCTTATCCTCCACTTTGTTGTCATCATCCTGCTTTTTAGTTTTTCCCTTGATTTTGGTTTTCTCATTTGATTCTCCAGGTTCAAGAAACAACAACAATAATAACAAAATCTTATACAAAATCTTATTCCCTATATGTAATAGGGTAAGGGAGGTAGGGTAGCAGACTATTAAGGGTGACAGCAGTTTTTGTGTCATAAAATTAAAAATAAAAATAAAATGTAATGCATGTATTAAAATATATATATATATATATATATAATTAAACATTAATCATCTGCGTCTATAATGAAGTCTCTGTAAATAAATCCTTTCAAAAAAAATATCAGGTTCTTTTCTAATTGATAAACCATTTTATAATGCTTATCTTTTTCCCAAGGATACGCAAATGTATCATAAAAGTAGAGCTCTTCTTCCCTCTCATGTAGCCTATCAAATTCCACGACTTTAGGCTTTAATTCAACAAACCCATCTTCATATTTCCCCTTATCCTCATCTTCAGAATCTGAATCGTACATTCTTTCCTTCTTTCTATAATATTTCCTCTTAGACTTGTCCATTTCTTCTTCTGATGTAAGTTTTTTGTCTACCCATGAATCAAAACCCAATTTTTTCTCTGGGTTCTCTTCCTCGGGTGAGTTGGGAGAGTCTGGTTTACTGATTCGGCGGCGAGTTGGGGAGGGTTGGGACTGAGTTGGGGTGTTGATTATCATTTCATATTGAAGAGGATAAGGTGTAGATGTTGTAGAGAAGAAAATGGCTGCTTTGAAAAGATCATTCTGTTGTTGAAATTAGAGGATTTTGGTGATAAGAGACGAATAGACTGGGCTGCAGTAAGAAAAGATGGAATCTTTGGACGTAGCAAAAGAAGTGACATCGTGGCTTCAGGTGGGGAAATTTTGCCTACACTGAAGTTTCAAGGTTTGAAGATTGAAGCTTTACAATTTTAGCAGGCCGTGTCCAAGTGTTGAAATCAATAATTTCATAGGACTTTTGGTTTAAAATCGAAGCTTTGGACAAGCACAATAATTTAAAAATGGAAATGAAATATCCTAATTACATGTTGGTAAAGCATACAAATGTTTCTCAATTGAACGGTATTATTTTGTTAAGTATATCGACTGTTAAAAATTATAAAATAATTTTTAATATATGGTGTTATTTTATAGTTTAATATTAAAATAAGTATTTAAATTATACTAAAAATCTTGAATAATTACCTAAACTATTTTTTTACACATTCTGATATTTAACATCATAAATATTATCACTTTAGGTGTCTTGATTCTATTGACTGTTAAAAAAACCGTTAAGTGTCACATATCAAAATTTGATAATTTTAGAAATTTATTTTTTAAAAATAATTTATTTTTAAAAACCCTCAATTTTTTCTAAAATATCAAAAAACTTTAAATTCTTAAAACTTTTTATTCTAGTCTCATTTACTCCAACCACCCGTCATCTCCGGTTACCTATTCACCGAGGACCGACCACCCATACGTCTCCAACCACCTAATGATCGGTCACAACTCATGGTATCATCTCAAAACCGAAAATTCTCAAATCCATAAATTTTAACTTTTTAATCACTAAAATCTCAAATATTTAATCTTTCAAATTAAATCGTGATAATCGGTTGTTTCACCGACTATGGCAGTCGGCCATTTGGTCAGTCGTTTAACCTTTAGCCGTTTGGCCTTGGAATGAGGGAGCAAAGAAGGGAGAAGGGGGCACGCGGGGTTGGCTGTTTGAATTTTTTTAATAATGTTTTTATTTTTTAAGAAAAATAAAAATTTCAAAATTTTAATATTGTGACACGTGTCACTTAACGGGATTTTATAACGGCCGTTATAGTTGAGGCACCTAAAGTGGTAACGTTTGTAACATTAGTCATCTAAAATGGTAACATTTATACTTTAATTTTGGTATAGTTTGGGCACTTATTTTGGAATTAATCCTTATTTTATTAAAGTTATAAAGCAATCTCCTAATACAAGGTGTTATTTTATTCAGTCTCTCAATTATTAGAAATTATAAAATGATCACGCAATCATTCATATGTTTTAAACTCCTCCCTTTTCGTTAAAAAATTTAAAAGTCATATGAATTGAATAACACATTAACAAAGATATAATAAAATTGGCAAAAGGGTAACTAATTCCCTTGTACTTAAAAAAACAAAATAAGGTGGCCCTCCACTTTTTTGCACCCAATGTAGTCCTCAAAGTTAAAAAAAAACTCAATGTGATCTTTTGACCAACGATTTCTGTTGTTAACCAACGACTCTGTTACTTTGTGCTGACGTAGCAGGCCAAAATCCTATTTTTTTCTCTCAATCTGGTCCTTCAACTCAAGAAAATAACTCAATCTGACCCTCCTATTTTTTCTCTTCTATTTTGGTCACTAAACTTTAAAAGTTTTCAATTTAATCACTCAACTTTTGAATTACTCATGTTTTAATCATCATGAATTATTTTATTAATATTTTTGTATGATGTGGCATTTATTATTCTTTTTATTAATATATGATTAAAATAATATTAATTAAATTAAAAATTATATTGAAACAAAAATAATTCCCAAAATTATAATTAATTTAAAAATATTCCCTATGTTTTATATATTTTCAAATCTCCACTCTCCTCCTTTATCCCCTCATTTCATTTTTCTTCCTTTTCAACCAAAGATTTCCCTTTTTTTCTTTCATTACCCGGTCAAGTAGCTTATCTCCAGTTTTTTCAAATTTTTTTATAAGTTCAATTTGGGTTTACTAAATCTGGTAATGAAAAAAAATAAGAAATCTTTGGTTGAAAATAAAAAATGCCACATCATATATTAATATTAATAAAATAAATCATGAGGATTAAAACATGAGTAATTCAAAGGTTGAGTGATTAAATTGAAAACTTTTAAAGTTTAATGGCCAAAATAGAAGAGAAAAATAGGAGGGCCAAATTGAGTTATTTTCTTGAGTTGGAGGGCTAGATTGAGAGAGAAAATATGATATTTGCTTGCTTAACGTGCCACGTCAGCACAAGTAACAATGACGTTGGTCAACGATGGAAAACATTAATCAAAAGACCACATTAAATTTTTTTTTTCTGACTTAGAGGGCCACGTTGGGTGTAAAAAAAAAAGTGGAGGGCCATATTTTTTTGTGTAAAAAATACGAGGACATTAGGTACCATTTTACCAATAAAATTTGATATCAAAATTTCAAAAGATTACACAATTCAAATGGTGATGGATCATATTTTGTCATCACATGATATTGTTAACGACTTAATGGGTTGATGATATGAAAAAAATATTGAAACTTTTAACCATAAAAATAAAATTTTTTAAAGTCGAAGATCAAAATCGATGTACGAAAATAATTTACCCATACATTAATAACAATGAGAAAACATCCTGAAAAATAAATTTAGACATGGAGGAACCTGTTGTGTTGATTTTTGTAATAAATCCAGCTTTATGGCATAATAATGGAAAGGTCTACAGGAATAATAATTTAAATCCAAATGAACAAAGATTAATCAATCCATGGTGTAAATAATAAACTGCACAGGTTTCCTACGAAATGTACAAATTGAGAGCTGACAACATCATACAACCAGCCTATCTCAAGAGAGGTCGAAGACATTATATGTGGTAGTACCAACACAAGCTCCATCAGTCTTCTTCATCGTCTTCACCTTCTGGAAGCCCCATATCGTCTCCGATACCCTCGAGTAGTTTGTCGACATTCTCACCTAATTCAGATAACCTTGCACTCAACTTTTCCACCTTGCTCTGCTCTTGTCCGAGGCACACTAGTAAATCATTCAACTCTGCTTCGCTTTCCTTCTGAGCTTCTTCCCTAGCTTCGGCTATTATTGCCTCGATATCTGGAGATGTTGACGTCCCACCGCTCTTCAAAGTTTTAACCTCTTTTTCTAGTTGGATATTGTTCTGTTCAAGACTATTGTAAGCATCTGATAGACTCTTGAGATCAGACTCCAGCTTCCCTGCCAAATTCTGGTACATTAATGCCTCTGATTCAAACTTGGCTTTCTCTGCCTTCAGCATCTCCACCCGTTGGGATGCCTCCTGAAGATCTCTCCGAAGTGTTTCCACCTGGACTCTATCCGAGCTGCTGCCTGCCGTTAGCTCAGGTTGAGAATGACCTGTTCTTGCCAAATCCTCAGCCAAAGTGGCATTCTGGCCAAGAAGTTTCTAGAAATGAAAAGAAAAGGAAACAGAAGATCAGACAGGTAAAACCGAAGGAAGCAAATTGACGAACATATTCCTTTTGATATATCATTATCAGTAGGTATTTGATCCATTAACAAATCCGCAAACATATAGTAATTTTACAATATTGGAATATATAACTATTCCATTTGGTATGGATACTTCATGAAAAAAGAGTCGGAGCAAAAAAGGATTTTAGTTTACAGTTACCTGGATCTCCGAGCACTGTATCTCCACAAATGCTTTTAGCCGCTTGATATACTCCTTGTCAATTTCTCCACCCTTTTGTTCCAGTTCGGCAGGCACAACAGCCACATCACTCTTAGGGCGACTGTAAACATCTACAATGTTCTCTCTAATATTCACTTCCAAACCTTTCACAAAATTAACAAACTGAGCATCACATATTGATGTGAGGATCGGATGATCCTCACTCTTGTGATATGTCAAATCATTCTCATCAACATCTTCAATCTGTCATACTAGCAGCAGTGGATCTTGTTAATGGTTTATGAGATTGAGTTGGCTTCACTGAAGAGAAAATGAAGCTTCTCTGCATCTCATCAAACTTCAGGAAGTACGATGTAAGCCCAATTTTCTGGCTTATGGCATCAGCTATGGTAAAACTGTCCTTTCCATTTTCACTAGATTTATTATAAATAACGCATTCTCCCAAGAGAACCGCAGCCAACCCCCTAACACACACAGTTGATGATGTAGTTGACACCAACTCAAGCAGATACGTTAAGTGGGGGCGTGAATCTAGGAAGCATTGCACTGCACTTGGGCAATCTGCTAGCCAAGTGATTAGCAGTTTCAAGATAATTGGTTGGATATACGAGTAACCTGGCTTCCCATCTTTATTTTTCATTGAAGTGGCAACTGCCAAATACCTAACAATTCGGTGCAATAGTAACTCTGGAGCTCCTAAGGATGGCATTGATGCTTCGAGCTCAACCTGTAAA